GTAGCATATGTAGTTCTTGAGTTACTTTAGGATTAACATTTTGAGTAATATTTATATTTAATAATATTTGATAATATTTGATAATATTTAACTATATTTGATAACATTTAACTATACTTGATAATGTTTAGCTATGATTGATAATATTTAACTATGTTTAGTTATATTTGAAGACATTTAGCAACATTTAGGAAAAAGATATATAAACCCTAGCTTTTCCTCTCTCTTGTAAAGTAGTTCTTGTATTAGTTCTGTATAGTTCTTGTATTAGTTTTGTAGTCAAGTTCCAAACAATACAATACTCAATTAAGTTTCAAGTCTTCTATTAAATCCTAATTAAGTATACCTTGGCTTTGCCTAATGCTTCCTTTAAATGAACTGCTATGGTGATATGATATTCTACTTTGATACTGTTGGGAGTTTCCCTTCCATGTCTTATATTACTTGTGATGTATTGAGAAGACTATACCACTTGTGACAGTATAAGTTTAAATTAATATATGCTAAGCTTGACTTCCTTGCAACCAAACATAAACTCAGAGATATTTTTCTTAATAAAGATAAATTTAAAGAGGTTGATGATTTACTAAACCTTCTTTACTATATACATGAAGCAACAATATTACTTTTATCTAGTTTGTATTCAACAATTTCTAATGTATGTTTGTCTTTTGAAGGTGTTCTCTGCTACTTTAGTAGATTTATTGATGATAGATCATACTTACTTGATAAATGTATAGTCACAGATTCTATACATTATAAACTAAATGAATATTGGTTACTTCTTGACAAATCTATTACAATTGCTACTATTCTTGATTCTACCTCAAAACTTATAATAAAGTTTTAAAATTGTTCAATAAAAATAAAGGTTTTAAAAATTGTTTGATAAACTTCTAATTAAAATAAAGTTTTAAAAGTATTTTTGAAAAAATAAATCTAGTTCTAAAATATTTAAAAATTGTTTAAAAAAAATAATTCTGAGTCTAAAATTGTTTAAAAATTCAATATATTTTTATTAGGTTTCAAAAATTTTTACTGAAAATTCTAAGTTTCGAAAATTATAATAAAATAAAAATTGAAATAAAAATCAAATTTAAAGTATTCCTAATTAAGTAAAAGAAATACTTAAAGTATCTTGAAAGTATTAAAACAAGATTACTATTGCTCGAATGAATAGTAATATTAAATAAAATAATAAAGTAAAAAGATAGCAGATGTTGTAACTTAAGAGGTACCACCTATACTCATCAGTTAGAATTGCTATACTCTAAGCTAGATTTGAACTCTCAACCTAAGGATCGACTAAGTACACATGTCCAAACTATTATCTCATAACTGCTTAATATCTAAAATTTTTCACAGACTCTTTTTAGGTAACAAGATTTTGCTAACAATTGTCTAATGAAACAATTTAAATTTAGTTATATGAAATTAAAAATAAAAAAAAAATATATAAGGTTTAAAGATAAGATTAATAAAAATTAAAATTAAAAAAAAAATTTTAAAAATTTAAAAATTTTAAAGAATAATAATAACAATAAATATAATGCCTCACTATTTCAACCATGAACAAAAGAAATCCTCTGGTCAGAATCTAAGAAGAAGCTCAAATAATCTTCTTTTTGAAGCTTTGGACATAATCTAAACAGAAAATAGAAGGTATATATCGATAATATATTATGTTTGCGATAATAATATATTTTTAAAGTTTGGTTTTAAAATTAATTAGGTTGATGCAAGAGATAAGAAGTTTATGTCATCAAGTTCAGAAGTTAAAAGAAAGAGTTAAGG